TACGCGACGGCATTGACCAGATAGGAATCTCTGCTGCATAGGTTATAACAAGTAATGCCACTGTTCCTACTATATCTGAATACAGCAAAGCTGTGACTATTGACACCCGCAGTGTACCTCTAAGATACCGCATTAGCACCATATCTGGTGCAAAGACGAGAGAAGCGAGTAACGGAATGGAGATCGACAACACGAGTAGCTTGGTTGACATTGCACCAATCTGTGTCATTCCAACCACCACTAGGACAACTCCTGTTACACTTATGAGAATTGCACAAGCATCCACAAGAATCAGAGCTTCCTTTAAGAACAGAAAACCGACACAGGCAACGAAGAATGGCATTGAACCTTGGATGATGCCAAATGTGATGCCAGGCACGGTGTAAGTAAAAGACAAAAATAGGGCAATCATAGTGACATTTGAGAAGATCACAAACAGGAACAGAATGGTGTTCTGGTGTCTGTCTTCACCCGTGAATCTCGGCCGGCAGAATGCTGCCACGCATATAAGACCTAGAAGTTCAGTCAATCGCAATTAAGAAGAGAACTTGAAAACGCGGAAGGCCATCCTTGCTTGCCAATGCTACAAATTCCGCAGAGAAAGAAGCAGTAACTGCCGACAGCAGGGAAAGGAAAATGCCATTTGCTGCCTTCAGAGAAGATGTTTTGGTCTCTGCGACGTTGTTTCCCTCCATGAATGTTATTTTGAGAGTATCTCTGTCTGTCTGCATTCTTGTGGTTTGACCTAGTGGTAGCAGAGTTCTGTTGTCAATAATTGATGTGGATAACCGTACTTTCGTGGTCAGGTACTCTCTGCAGCTTTCATGGGCTTGAACCTTTTTTAACTGTCATCAAAAATCCACAACATAGGAGAGAAAAAAGTAAGGCCTTCACACAGCGGTACTTTCGGGAATGTTGCTTCCGATCTCCCACGAAGAAGGCGTTATCTTTGCTTTCTTGTGTCTTTGTGTTGAGCATCCAGAAAAATATTGTTTTGTATGTTTTCATCGAGTCACGGCGATATGACAGTCTTCTGTAAAAAGAAAAAAGAGAACATTATAGGATTTAGACACTGCACTGCGTTGCATATACACACAATGACCTTCATCAACTGTTAATGTAAAAACGTAAAGCCTATGACCCTTTATATGAATTATAGTTTTTTTCGATTTGTTCGTCAAGTATGTGTTTACCTGTTAAACGTCGGTCGGTTGCGTTGGGTCAATCGGTGACAAGGTGGTCTCTGTTGTCACAGCATCTGAAGGTTCTGGGTTCTAAATAATATTTATTTTTATTACATGAGATTTGTGAAAGCATTGACTAAAATGATTTAAAAAACGTGGCCAGATATTTTGGTGCAATATTCATTCACTTCCTACCATAGGTTTACAATTCGCAAGCAAGTCTTCTGCAGTCAGTCTGTGTGGAAAGGTTTCAATACTATTGTTTTCATTTGTCACGTCGTCTTTCCTGCACCTCCACGCTAGGAGGCGCCACTAACACGTGAGACAGAAACGCGTCATACAGGCCAGCTGCGCCCCCTGGTGGTTTCAACGGTTCATCTGTGTTGAAAACAATTACATTTTATATTATTAGTCGTTGAGACACATTACGGCAGATTGTTGAAAAATGACTTTGTAATTTTAGTATTATGAGTCTCTTGTTATCTGGAGTAATTTCATGTCAATACATTTTTAATATTTAGTCGATATTAATCAAAACGGCATGGTATTTCTGGTCTAAAATCGCCTAATAGGTATTTATCATAAGTATATGAGGACCAGTATAGCCAAAAGCAAGTAACAGGCAGACCGGCACTGAGAGGCAACTCAGGCAAGAACAAGGAGAAGTCGTAGACATCGTCCCTCCATGAAATAGCTTGTTATTTTGTAATTTTTTGGTGTATTTTAATAGACATATTATGAGTCAAACTTTGTTTTATCAGCAAAATGATAGATGTCTATAGATGTCTATCCTTTAAGAATTTTGTTGTGGCACTTCGTATTGGAAGGGGTTGCCTCAAAGCTGTCATGTGCAGGCGTTTAGTGTCTTGTTACCATGGTTTGTTTGAGGTCAATGACCTCTCAAGCACAACATATTAACAAACCACAGATGACCCAGTTCCCTGCTGAATGACCGATTAAAGATAAAATATATTTCCTGCAGAAATGGTCTAGAGGTAAAAATAGATTGGCCTGACCTGCCAGCTGGAGATATAAACAAAAACACTCTGGGGTCAAACAGACCATCCTATTATGAAATAGGGGTGAAAATGTGAAAATCCTTTTAAATAAGCAATGCAAATCTACGACAACCTGCTAATGCACGCTAAAACGCAAAGACAATCAGCGTCTACCCACATACCAAAAATGATCGCCAACCATCCACCGGGTTCTGAGATCATTCAACGCAAACAATCTGACATTGAGATAGCAATTCCGGTTCAAAGCAAACAGCTAAGGGGGCCCAAATTTACATCACTAAACCATTGTAACCACAACTACATGCTACCTTAGCATCGCACACACAGACCATAACGTGCCAACAATAGAATAAAAAATTAAACTGCAGTACCAAGGTCAATCACCAGGTGCTCAAAGTCAACCTACACAATCTCTAAGGCCCCATCCATCAATCTGCCAAATATCATACAGTTCCTTCTCACCGATCTTCAGATATCAGACCAAACATGAAACGGAGTAAAAACAATACCCCCCATTTACATGGAGGGTAATGATTAATTTCTGTAGGTCTGTTTATGGTTGATGCCTAATATTCATAATGATAATAATAATAATAGCATCGGCTCAATCACTATTCATTTGTTACGTTGCTCCTGACCCTCCCAAGGTTGTTCCTGGAATGGCCCTTTCACCGCACAACAGCCTTGTTTTGAAAAAGTGAATTTTCCATTATATTTTTTTTACAATTTTAAAAGTTTATCATTTTTATAAGCATATTTCTGATTAAAGGCTTAGTTCATATTGAAGTAGTGTTTTTTTCCTGATGTGGAACTCACAATTCTAATGTGCTTAACATTACATGTACATTACTGAACCTACTCTTAAAAATGACAATTTCTGTATCAAAAAATCACATAAATAGCACAGAGAGAGAGAGAGAATGTGTGTGTCTGTTTGTGTGTGTGTGTGTGTGTGTGTGTGTGTGTGTGTGTGTGTGTGTGTGTGTGTGTGTGTGTGTTGTGTGTGTGTGTGTGTGTGTGTGTGTGTGTGTGTGTGTGTGTGTGTGTGTGTGTGTGTGTGTGTACATACAGACGTTTTAATACAGTAGTTGATAAGAAAATACTGCCTTCCCTCAGTAGACTGTTTAGGTACATGTAAATCGCAATCGATACAGGCATGTAGAAAGACAGGTCGGTTGGGGTCTCATTTGGTGGCATCTATATACTTTACCCATGCTTGGTGGACCGTGTGTAGCGTTTTTATTTTCAGGACCAGAAAATGAAATCTCCGCGTTGTAAACTTCCTCTCATTATGTCTGGAACAGGAATAGATTGCTTAACTCTTCCCCTGGGCCTATATTGTTGTTACATAACCAAGTCTTTCAGTGGGTACCTTTTTTTTATTCCAACATCCAATCACATGACGTGGTGACGGCACACTCAACTTATATTACTCTAGAGGAATGTGGTTATGCTTTCGTCTGGCAAAATCCCCAGTCAATTGTCTCAAACACGTCCCCTATTATTTCATCAATTTATCAGCGTCTAAAGGACATCTATTTTCAGACATTTCTATCCGAAATTTACAACGATAACAGAATTGCAAATGCAAAGAATAAACTCAGACTATTAAAACATTCTTATAACGAAAAAGAATATCTTAAATTAGCAAATGTACGTCATAGATCCACCATTACAAAACTAAGAATCAGTTGTCATAAATTGCGAATTGAAGCAGGAAGACATAACCGCACTGCCCTGGAGCAAAGAATCTGCCAATTTTGTAGTCTAGATAGAGTAGAGGACGAAGTACATTTTTAACCATAGATTGTCCTTTATATGACAGCGATAAACGCATATTTTCCCTACTTCGGATTCTTAACAAGAAAAAAAATTGTATACCTGTTAACCTTTGATAAACCAAATCTGACTGCACGTACAGCATCTCACATTTATACAATTACTAATAAGTTGAAAAGACTAAAATACATTAGACATTTATATATACATGTACATGTAATAGTTATATGTATATTTATATGAATATGTATTCGAATATGTATAATGTGACCTGGGCAAAAATGTACAATAAAGGTCTTCATTCATTCATTAATGCCGCCGCCAACACAGGGACAATACAATACTCATTTTCACCTGAGTCTAGTGGGGAAAGTCGTGTAAAGTGCCTTTTCCAAGGGCACAAGATCGGTGGCATGTCAGGACTCGAACCCGGGACCTCATGATTCCGAGTCGCGCACGCTGCCGTTGCGCCACACGACTACACAGTGGGTACCTAACCTTCTCAATAACGTACACTCCCTAGATACTGTACCGGCGACGGTTTGTCCTGTTTGTAGACATAGATACCCCCATGTTACAGTCTTTGTTGTCCTTCTCATACTTTTCCAAGACAGATTTTGCAGTCGGGTGATGCGGGGTTTGTGCGTGTAGATATGCCACCCTTGAGGGTGTGTGTATGTGTGCAGCCTGGTATTTCACGTTTGCCTGCTTTCTGCTTGCCAATGCGGGGGGATAATTCTTATACAGACCACTCATGGATATTAGGGCTCCTCACGTTCTGCCATACCTACCAGCGAAGACCCTATCTCTACCCGCTACACACATGCCATACGACCTAACGTTTGCCTTCCTCTGCCGTGTATGAATATTTGGGAGTGTTGTAGAGTAGATGTTTGCCGCCCTGTCGTGTTTGTGAAGGAAGGGCCACGTTAGCGGCAGCGGCGTAGAAAGTCACTACTTCGTCTGGGTACGACTCAGTCCGTGTGTTCACGTAGTCAGTGAAGTACTCGTCTGGAATTTACCAGTAAGGATTCTGCCCCCCAGGCCGTGTGTTGTAGTAGTTGTAGTAGTTGTGGGGGGTTTCGGCGTACTGGTGCAGGTCACTTTCAGCGGTCTGTGTGGCCGCATCAGTCGCGCTGACGGGACTCCCATTGACCGGGGCGTCCTCGCCACCTGCCCCGCCGAGTACCCAGCGATTCAGGGGGACGACAGGTGGCGGAGGTCGGTTGTCCTGCCGCGACAAACTGCGCTGATTTCTGATAACACAGACTACTAGCAGTGCTACAAGCTCTACCCCTACTACAGCTAACACTGAGGCTATCCCTGTAATGATACCTAGTAGTAAATACCATTGCCTTAAGTAATGTAATAAGCAGAGTGCATCTAAATTCGCACTTTTTAGCATTGACTTACTTGACTTATGCCGAGTCCTGGTGTCTCTGGCATTGCTACAATTCAAGTCAGCAAGGTGACCACTGACCAATAATTCAAGTCATTAATATTGCACACCAATGCTACCCAACAAGCTATTTCCATTTTAGCCTCCGGCCAGCTTTTTTTAACCCTAAACAGTACACCTGGGGTCCGCGCGGACCCCAGCACTATATATTCTTAAAGATTTTTTTTCTGAGATTTCGGGTAATTGTCACCCACAAAGTTGTCCCTCAATGCAGTGCAGAAAACTCAGTTTCCTCCATTTTTTTAAATTTTTATATGTGATTTTCTTTTGGGCTCCGCGAGGACCTCAGCCGGCTTTTGATCGTTATGAATACATTGGCGTTCTTATACATTACTTTATTTCCGTTTTTATGTTTTTATGCTCTTATCATATGACCACCAAATTTTCATAGAATTGTGTACTAATAGAATTAAATTCTAACAACTTTGGTGTAATTATGACGTCATATGACGTCAGAGCTAATAATATGGCCCGCCATCTTGGATTTCGACCAATGACGTCATCAAATTAGCATATATTATGAATATTGAATGAGTTAACTTATCTTTAACTAAGATGTTACTAATGTCAGAAAGGAAGTGTTATTTAATATAAAACCCAGAAAATGTTTGTAAGCATTTGACATTAAAAATCTCGACTTGGATCCCATTTATGTCTTAGTTATGTTGTAAGGCGACCTTCAAGGAGACCACCTGTCCAAGGTGACCGCTTTTCTCTGGACCCCTGGGTGGTCGGCTTGGGCAGGTTCTTAACCTAGTTAATTTCACGAAATTGAAGGAAATTCCATGGAAACGAGGTATAAAATAAACATACTAAAATGAATACATTTCATCTATTTTTTGAACTTGTACAATCATCTATTGGTTGAACATTCGTCAATTGTATGAGGCAAAATATTTTATCAATAGCATTCTGCTGTTTAAAGCATTAGCTTATTGGAACCTGGCATAACAATGACTTAAGAGTGTCTGCACATATAATCGTTGAAGTGTGCATATTGAAAGTCTAAAAAGAAAAATATAGTTCTGTATAATAGGGTTTATTCTTTTTTTGCCATTTGTTTCGTATGCTTTCTTTCCACTTGACTGTAATATTTTTTCTTTTCTATTTCGTATTTGAAAACTGGTTGTCCTTCGATGATTGACCTTAAGTTTAAAACGGGTCGTATGGGCAGCCACCGTTCACGTTTCTTCTTTTTCTGCAATGTCGGTACCATATGCCGTACTTCCTGCGTCAGAGTCCTTGACCTGTTAGAAAAAACAACTATATAAACAAACAGGTTATCTAGATATATTCCCTAAGTGACGACTAAGTGCTAGGCCAAAGCTGGTTAAATCGAGTCCATGCTCAGATCATTACAGAGATCCTAAATCTTGCAAACAACTGATCAAGTCAACTCTTCATCATGTTTTAGATGTTTGGTTTGTTTTCTAATATGAACTAAAAAAAATGAATGTGGATGACGGAAAATAGTAATTTGTGTAGATGGAAGGACATACAAAGCCCCCCCCCCCTCCTTTAAGAATCATTACCTTGTCTAGACATGCTGGTAATCGATTAGTTACTTTTTACGCTTTTGGCCTTTATCCTTGGAGATGACACAAGCCAATTTAGTCTACTTTTTTCGTTCTTACAAATTTTATCTAAAATGGCAGGGCACACATTTTTATCTATGGCCACAGCAAGTAATTTTTATGGATGACATCCGCGCGCGCATTAATTTTCGCCTGATATTGCCTTCTGACAGTGTTCAATATGCCGAAAATGGACAATATGCCGAAGATGTCTGTTGCCATGCCGGAGGGTGGATGACAGATAACTATGAAGAGAAAAGGCTCTGATTTAATGTTTTGTTTCTTACTTTGATGCGGAAATATGTGATGTTGGCTGTGT